TTTTGGTATGACTTAAATACATGATTAATTTATTATACAAATGTAAATTTATTTTTTTAAATAGATTTAAGGAATTTGTTTATTTTTATTTGAAATTATAGAATACCTATTGATCGTCTCTATTATGCGTTCTATATAGACATAAGAAACTTCCTTTCTTTCATATTGATTGACCTTTAAACTTTGTCTTCGTTTTTATTTCGATGAATTTTAATCATTTTTAGTAAATATAAAAATAGCCAATGTATCCATTGGTAGACTGATAACATTTCTATACAAAGTACTTTACGAGTCAACACTTTCAAAAATCAAGAATATACTAGTGACAAAAGAAAAACTTTTTAGATCGAACATTTTATTTTAATAATAATCAAAATAGAATTACTAACAAAAGATAAAATTGTTACTTGACATCAAAGTTTTTTTAACATTCCATATTCTGGATAAATAAAACATGGATGAAGAAAGCAAAATCGACGGTAAACAATACATAACGAACAACGAATACCGAAGAAAAAGGAAAAAAACACACACATACACTTGCAAACTCTATAAAGAGAAATATAGTAACGCACTCTATATAAAGGCATCCTCCTTTCTTATATTTACGCAGTTGTTTTTTCTTTGGTTTATTATAGACGTTGCGGTATATTCCTATTAAATCGAAATCAATGGCTGATGACTCGTATTCTAAACCACTTGATATTCCATCATCAACTGTTCTTATTACAGGTGGTTCAAGTGGTATTGGTTTTGGTCTTGCACAATGTTTCGTTGAAGCAGGTGCTTCAGTTATAATAACTGGTCGTCGTGAACAACAATTAAAAGAAGCTGTAGAAAAATTAAATCGTTCTGGAAATACAAAAGCTATTTATCATGTTAATGATGTTGAAAAAGCCGATGAAAGATTAGCTTTATATAATTGGGTAACACGTGAATATCCTCAAACAAATATTCTTATTAATAATGCAGGTATTCAACAACGTCATCCATTTATTCCACATGAAGTTTCTTCAAAAAATATTTCATGGGAAGAACGAGAAAAAGAAATTCACATTAATATATGTGCACCAATACATTTATCTCATTTATTTATAACACATTTTCGTCAATTAAAAACAACGACAGCTATTATTAATGTTTCATCAGGTTTAGCATTCACACCATTAGCATTAATACCAATTTATTCGGCAACAAAAGCTGCAATACATTCATTTACAATGAGTCTTCGATATGAATTAATAAATGAAATACCGAATATTCAAGTTTATGAAATAGTACCACCAGCTGTTCAAACAAATCTTGGTGGTAGTCATGCATTTGGTGAACCACTTGATGATTATTGTCAAGCTACATTTGAACGTATAAAAAAAGGTGAACATGAAATTGGTTATAAACGTTCAGATGAAGGTAGAAAATTGTCATCTCGTGAAGAATTGGATAAACAATTTATTCAACTTAATGAAACTTTTAAGACAGTTTTTCAAAATCTAAAACATTAACTAATAAAATAGGATGATGTTTATTTTTATTTTTATTTTATCTTATTGTTTGGACTAATTCAGAAGATTTCAAACGATAGAAGAAAATGTTCATAGAAATGAAATTATTCAATCTATCAGTACATTTCTGACATCAAGAGTGTAATACGACATGAATGTAATATAATGAAGTATTGAATTGATTTTAATGCATTTTTATTGATTTAAACATGTCAACTCGACAGATGTACAGCGACAGCCAGTGACAAAAAGCTCTTGATGAAATTGTCAACATATCGAAAGAAACAAAGGAAAAAAATACAATCTTACTTTTCTTTAGTAGTCACTTGTCCATATATTGTATCTTCAAATTGTTACTCACGGCACAGACACGAATGGAAGAAAAGAAAATTCATTAATGTATGTTTTTGTTTCGTTGGCTTGTTCGCTATTGATGTACTTTTTAGTTCATCATTTTTCTTTGTAATAGTTGCATTTCTATGAGAAATCCAACAGAATCATGTAATCGATGTTACGATCAATTTTTTTATTCTTAACATCACTTAAGATTTTAGTTAGAAACAAATACAAACGATACTTTTCATTATTCGTCAACTGTATACAAATATCGATGACTCCCTTTCTCATGCATGAAAAACATGTTCCCTAATATGTTCTCTGCTGAAACACATTTACTATAAACATAGTTCTAATGATGCACGTATGTATAGAGTAAGAGTTCTCTAACGGATGTTTTGATGCACATTCAAATTGAGCCAATCTTCAATATGATCAGACTAAAGTCAAATATTTTATTGGAAGAACCAGATAAATCAAATATTGTACAAAGAATATTATACATGGATGCGGATACATGAGACAAGGATCCTCGTTCACAACCGCATCTGTTGCTTTAAGAAAGAACTACTTTGACTAAAGTAAGAATCAAGATACATTCAAAATATCAGCCTCTCCAAAACTCACAATCAAGATAAGAACAAAATTGGTAAAAGAAGTTCTTCAGTAACTACGACATGTGATGCATACATCTAATGGTGAGGTATGATGTGATCACTCGAAATAGAATTTACTTTTCTTGTTGTTTCACTTGCATTATCAGAAAGCTCATCACAAGCATGATGAAAAAAATCGTTCTGAAAAAATAAACAATGAGTGGCACAAGGTATTCAATGCAATGATACTCAAGTCATTGTGCAGATGAAAAGTAAACGAAAGTTGGAAAGAATAGCAACACAAAGAATGACGTTGATGAACGTTTTTTCTTCATCGTTTATTATTTACAGCCATATTTTCAATGAAAACTAGATGGCGTTTGTAGTTGAGTGGCAACTGTACAAATAGAAAAGATGATCGTTGTCCTAATGGAAATCAACTATTCACTATTCTGGATTAACAATCAAGCGATAATTTGAACTCAATATGAGTGGACAAAATTCCAAACAAGAAATTTCCACATCTAAAATCGGTGCCGTCACATGCACAATAGCAGCGTCAAATATTACCGAACGATGACTGCGCATGGCTCAAGATTATTTTCTCATCTAGGTCGATGGTAATATTGATCAAGCAAATGAAGACTGCCTACTTTCTGAACTTGATGATACAAGAGAAACTTGAGTTCAATTTTTGGTAATTCATGTAAAAATTTTTTGAAAAAAATCAATGTTAAGTATCTTTTTGATCATGGTATTCATATACTCAAGTATGAATAAATAGATCTTCTTAATACATATCGACTCGATGAGTCCAATCGGTGAGCCTAACTATATTTTAACAAGAAGCTTAATAGGAAAACACTTTCTTCTCCCTTTTTTCGTAAGCAGCAACTTACACATTATGTATCATCTGCTCTGTCTTCACTATTTTTAAACCGGTTATTACATAGTGTGATATTTCTCGTTAAAACAATCAAGACAAAAAAAATTGTGCCAATCAGAACAGAAGGTTTTTATTTTCTTTGCTATAGCCGGTTTGCTTCTTTGTCTGATTTTCAAACAACAGCCAACGAGTACATTTGTTGAAAGACGAATGCACATGTAAATGAATCTGGGGTGTGGGTGTGGATGTGGGTTAGGGTTTGGGTAGAGTGGGGATGCAGATGAGAAGATATGAACATCCACACCTATACCCTTCTTATGTATATTACCGGGTTCTCTTCCAAGAAAATATAAATGTTAAAGGAAAATTTAAAGCGATGAAATATATTAAAGGTGTTCTATCAAATACTAGATACTTTTATATTCACAACGAAAATCACCTACATTCATTTATCTTTGTTATTCGTCTTACGCTTTCATGCATGTTTTTGAGGATTTATCTTTTTCTACATTATATTTTAGTATATATATTTCTACAAATATGGATAAGTAAAGAGAATGTATATAACTGTTTTGAACAGGTCATAACTTTTCGATTTCAAAAGAAACGAGAAGAAGCGATTAGGGAAAAGATAAGGAAGACCAGACAACGTGTCATGTTTAGATATGAATTCAAGAGAATTTCATCGAGTTGTAAATGTAATCGATGAACGACAACTTCCCATCGGAATCCTGTACCAAGAAATTTGACGAGATCTACGTCTATGACTCTTTATCCTAGATAGCGTCAAAAATAAACATACAGCACTTAGAAAAATAGTTAGCGAAGATATGATATGTTAGATAGAAGATCGAATACTTTTTTCATATTTAGTGTTTTTTTCTTGTCTAGAGTTTCTTTAGTACCAGCACAAAAGCAACAGTTCTCTCGTGATTGACAAGTATTCAGTTATTCTTTGTAAAATATTGTTGAAAAAATGATAATCATATGGTCCTCAAATGTCAGGACAATAATTGACAATGATGATGATTGACAATTTATTTCGTTGAATAAAAATCAAACTATCATTTTAATTTCTTTGGATTCTATTTTTATCATTTTAGGAATATTTAGTTGAAGAAAACGAATAATCAGCAAAAATATCTGATTCGATTATGCATCAAAAAGCTGAATCAACATGTGTTTTAATTAACACAACAATTTACAATCCTGATCAAATTATCGTTAAAGTAGATATTCGATACGTATGTACATTGTCAAGATTTTGTATAAGCGATTCAGTCAATCCAAGAAATTGTCAAATTTAATCCAGTTTAATCGACGGACAACTTTGTAAGTCCTAAAGAGCGTATATTTCAATCGCCTAATAATTCGTTCAAAGCATCCGACATAGTCTAAGTATTATTTCTACACCTATTTTGTGTGTGTGTATTGGCGAAGATATAACACTCACACCCTAATACATTGAAAGGATCTTTGAATATGAATACAAGCTACGGATAATATCTTTGTAACCGTCGTTAAAAATGAAAATTAATGCACCTCTACATCAAGATGATATTTATATATGTTCAATTCACTGTATTTTTTATTGCCCAGCGACCAGTATGAAAACGAAAAAAAAGACTAATACAAATATATGTATAATTAAAACAATATCAATAGAATGAATATTGCATATTAAGAAGTTAATTCTTTAAAGCATTGATCACAAACTCGTTGGGGTTTTTTAGATGCTGCTGCAACGATAGCTGTTTTTGATGAACATGTATCACAAAATATATTTCCACAATTTCGACAATGATGTTTACGTTGTGTAAGAGTAAATAATTGATTACATTTCATACATTCATGTACATCTTGGTCATTTAACCATCGACGTTGAGTTAGTTTATTTGTATGAATCTAAATTTGTTTCAAAAATTAGAACTTCATTAAAAAAAAATAATAATATTATTTTATTTTTACTTGAAGATTTTGATATTCACCAGCTAATTCTTGTAATGCAGATTCTAAATCTGAATTCTTTTTTGCTAATTGTCCATTTTCTAATAGAAGTTTTTCATTTCTACTTTCACTAGTTAATGATCGTTCTAAGAACATACGATTTTCATCTTGACTTGTAGTTAAACGTCCTTGAAGATCTGATTTAAATAAAACAAAAAAAAAAGATAAATAATTAAATAGATTGAGCAAAAAAAACAAACAAACCTGCTTTTTCACGTTTTATTTGTTCAAAATCAACTAATTTTTCATGAGCTATTTTGAGTTCACCTCTTACAGTAGCTAAATTTTCTGTTAATGCTAAAAATTGCATTTCATATTTTTTAGTTCGAGATTCAAGATCTGATTGAGTATTAGTTAATTCATGTTCCAATGAAGCCTAAATAATAATAAGAATAATAAGAATAAAAATATAAATTTAAAAATAATTTCAAGTTTATTTACAATTTGTTTTTCAAAATTTTCTCGTTGAAGATCTGCTGTTTGATTCGCTTGAGTTAAAGATTCTGTTGTCTGAAATAGAGATTTAAATTTAATATGATAAGTTAGAAGATGTTAAGAATGGGTTTAGGACATTTGCTCGCTAGGACATTTGCTCGTAAAAATGCTTCGAAGTAAATATTTGAATGAGATATACGAAAATATTCTTTAATCGTTCACTACATTTAAATTTTCTGGCATGTTCGCATTTTCATAATTATTTTCTTGTCATTTCGTTTATCAATAATGTAAGAATATCCGTCGTAAATAAGTAACGGAGCGTTTTTCGATGTTGTTGAAAGATTAACTGACATGGTTGTTTTCTTAATACACTGTTCTACAACTGACACTACTTTTTATATGATTGTGATGATTGAATACGACTATTCTTTATAAAGACCATGATCGTCAATGTGCTCTACAAACAGTCTATTAGTTGAGTCAATTTTGTTCTGAATTCTTTCATTGACAATGAAGAGTCATTTCATTCGAGAGCAAATGTTCTAGTGAGCAACTGTCCGACGAGCAATTGTCCGCGCGCAACTGTTCGGACCCCATTAAGAATATGCTCAAAGTCAAGAGAATCGCTTTTTCTTCAACTGACAATCAGTGCATGAAGAAAATATCCTTGAGATTGATTTTTGGAGATATATTGGTTTTGTTTTAATTATTGAATTCATTTCTTGTATAGCTTAAAGAAATGAACATTCGTTTTCAAGCTGTCCTATTGAAAAATTTTTATTGAGTAAGATTTAACATAAATCTGAAGTCTTATGATCAAATTTATCTTCTTATATACCTGTAATAAATTATCATTAAGTTTATTTAATTGTATTTCAAAATTTTGTTTTTGTTCATCATATTCTTTAATTAATTGATCATGTTCGTTTTTTATTCTATTCAATTGTTGTTCTATATGTTGTTGTTCTTCAATTTGTTTTTCTAGTTTAGTCTATTTCAACAAAAAACATTTAATTTCAAAAAGAAAAAAAAAATCTAAGAAGTCTTACTTTATTATCAATAATAACTGTATGAATAACAGTTAAATAATTAGTAAATTCATCACGGATTTCTTCTAATGTTTGCGCACGAATCGTTTGAAATTCTTGTTCAGCCTAAAAAGAAAACAATTTATTGAACTTGATTAAGATAGTTGGAAGATTAAACTGTAAATAACATCCTCAGAAGCACTTATACCATTTGAAATAAGATTTGAACTTCTCCTTCTACAATAAGAGAATCATTTCGTTCTCTGTCATATGGCTAATACGTTAGTTTTGTTGTTTTTACTAGTAATTCCTATGAATAGAGGTCTAATTTATGAGAAAAAATCCGCATGCTTATGCTGTATACAAACAATTCGATTGATGAACTTCAAAAAGATAAATACATTCTATTTACCTGTTCAATAATCGCTAATAGATTCATTTGACTAGTATGAATATTTTTCTGTATATATTCTTGAGTTTTATGTGCATGATCAATACTACGACGAATACTAGCAGTTAAACGATTAATAGATTCATTCTATTGATGAAAAAAATAAAATAAAATCGAAAAATAATTGTTATTCTTTATTACTTTTTGATCTAATTCTGTATTTAATTGAGAAATTGTTAATTGTAATTCGTCAATAGTTTGTTGATTATTTTCTAATTGTTTTTCTTGATCGTATTTTTCTTTTTGTATGTTATCTAATTGTAATTTAACTTCATTTAATAATTCTTTCTGTTGATTCATTGTTTGTTTTAATTCAGTATTTTCTTTTTCTAATCTTTCTATTTCTTGTTTCTAAACATAAACATAAAAGTTTAAAAACAAAATATTACTAAAATCATATACTTGATTATCATTAGTTTCTCGAAGATCATTTTCTAATTTAGTATTAATACTGATATATTGTTCACGTGTAGAAGATAATTCTTGATTTAATTCGTTTATTTGTTGTTCCTTAAATAAAAATAAAAATAATAATAAATATATAAAACAGTAATGAAGCTTTAGAAACGTTTATATTTCTACTATTCTTTTATGAATTGAATAGAAAATCAAATAAAAACAAGTGAATAGTTTTATTACATTGCAAAATAAATTTTGAATGTTATATGTAGCTTTTGAGGATATGTCTTCAAAATAGGATTTCATATTCTAACAAAAAATCAGCGTATGATGACTTGATTTCGTATGTATGAGATAAGATATGTTGAGTTAGTATCCTACTGGACTTTTCTTATTGAAACTAATTTAAAGGATATATTAAATAGAAAATTTTGAATGATAAGTTTTCCTCAGATCTAACTCAGTCTTGAACGAATAGGTATCTTTAAAAGAGGCGAACATCCATATATTTCACCACTAACGAGAGAACCTATCCAACTGATACCCTCCGTTTGAGCTAATATTTCGCCCATAAGTAGGACCCAGTGAGACTAGAAAAAAAGCCTAAAAGGATAAGTGTCATTAGGACTTCCCTCCAAAGTTATAGCCGTTTTTACTGAAATTTTAGCCTATGACAGGTTATGTACAGAAAAATTGAATGACAATATTTCGACTTGAAATCTTGTCCATAGATAGATCTACTTGTAACTAGAATGTCCTGAAAATTTCAGCTAAAAAAGAATGTTCCCTTCGTGAGATATTGCATTTCCAAAAATCACTTATATCCCACATAGATTTGAGAATCTCATGTTTTTTTTTGGAAATACAATATCTCACGAAGAGAACATTCTTTTTTAGCTGAAATTTTCAGGACATTCTAGTTACAAGTAGATCTATCTATGAAGAAAATTTCAAGTCGAAATATCGTCATTCGATTTTCTCTGCATAACTTGTCATAGGCTAAAATTTCAGTAAAACGGCTATAACTTTGGAGGGAAGGCCTAATGGCACTTATCCTTTTAGGCTTTTTCTCTAGTTTTACTGGGTCCTACTTATGGACAAAATATGAGCTCAAACGGAGGATATCAGTTGGATAGGTTCCCTCGTAAGTAGACCTTAATTTTAAACTTTATAATTGAATTTTGCATATAGCTCATGTGAACGTATCCAATCGATCTCTATTATCAATTACAGTATATGACACTAAAGTATCATATATGTTAGCATCAGTATTGTATCGTTTCGTTTCCTTCTTTAGCTGCTGACACCCTTATTTCGTTTTGCTGTACCGATACGTATTTCTACCGTGAGAATTAAGTCTCACATTATTGTCTGAGATCCGTGCTGGTTTTCGGTACAACACGAGGATACGATACTAATGCTAGCGTATATGACACTCTATACTGTCAAATATGGTAATTGATAATATAAATCAATTGAACACGTTCACACGAACCATATACAAAATTCAATTATGAGACTTAAAATTGAGAAAACACGTGTCTTCTATTTTTCTAAGATTAGTATATAAAAACCTAATATTATAGGTATGTGCTTAAATCGAGTTCAGTATCTGATGTAATCTAGTCGAGTATTTATTATTTGACAAGTTCTTTAGAAAAAACCTGGCTACTAGTTGTGAAATTTGTCAGAAGTCTCTATATATATATATTTTGTACTGTAGAAATTTTTTTTAATCTTACTTTATCTTTATTCAAATCATCTAATTGTTGTTTGAGTGAATTAATTTCATTATTAAATTGTATTTGTTCAACTTGTAATTGATTCTAATTAAATAAAAAGAAAATTTTAATAAAAAAATAAAAACAATCTATAGAAGATTTTTCATTTTTACTTTGTCATGATTTGTTTGTGTTAATTGTTTTGAAATATTGTCAAATTCTTCTTGAATATTTTCTTTTTCTTCATTTATTTGTTTGATTTGTTTTCGAAGGTCTTTTATTTGTTGTTGATATTCATCCTTGAAAATAAAAAAACAGAAAAAAAAAATTCAAAGAAAAATAAAGATCAATAAGATTCTTCTCACTTTTTCTTGCATTAATTGTTGAACAAGATTTCGTCGTTCTTCATCTTGATCAGCATCCATTTTCGTTAATAATAATTGATTTTTTTCTTGTTGTAATTCATCTAAAGTTTTTTCTAATGTATGATTTTCATTAATCAATGTTTCAATTTGAATTCGAGAGGAATTTGTTTGTTTTTGTTCACTTTGTAAATCATTAATTAACTGTTCGTTTGATTGAGTCTGAAAAACAAAACAATAGACAAAAGGAAAAAATGTATTTTTCTCTTAAAATAAATGTACTGACTTGATGTTCAAGGTCCACATATAATTGAGCATTTGTTTGTTTTAGCTGATCTATTTCAGTTCGATTCTAATGTAAAGAAAGAAGAAAAAAAAACAAATTCCGAGGTTTTTTTTTTCTTTGAACGATTTTCTTCCTTCTCAGAATGTTTATTTAACTCTTCGCTTACCGATAAAAGATAAACATACTTTAAATAGAATGGTTGTACATCACGTACATTTGTGTTTTTTATCATAAAAATTTAGCATGAGTTATAACAAAGTGATCATGTAGAATGCCCCTGCAATTTGACGTTGACATTTACTCAAATCTGTCTCATATATTTACGGTATAAGAGATTTTATTAGTTTCAAGAGATCATTAAGTTTATGATATATATATATAAGAGTAAAACAAATGATTTATTAAAGATATTTTTCTCTTAAATTTATTATGAATTCATTGATTCAATTTTTATGGTATGAAAAATGAAAAGACGAAGAAAAAACTTAATTTCATAGTTCTAAATACGGATCATAATTATACGAGTCATCAAGTCGGTTAATTTCTCTTGATTTAAAAATTGCTTCTGTTCATGCAAGATTTTTCTTTTTACCTCTCGTGACTGCTTAAGTCTAATAAAACTAAAACAAACAAGATTTTTGTATACTAATAGTTTTTGTCAAAGTTTATTTATCCTTGAATTTTGAAGTAGTCGATGAACAAAAATGAATTATTTCAAATACTGTCTCTTATCTATGCACTGAAGTTATATATAGTTCAACATGAGTTAAGTAATTCATAATTTTTGAGTTCATATCAAATAAATTTTTAACAATACATGTGTTCGCCATATTTTGCTTACACTATCAATAAACTATTCTTTTGAAGAATTAAAAAAAAGAATTAAATTTAAAAATTCAATATCTCAATAAAGAAACATTCTTTCCAGTCGAAACTTCCAGGAGTCATTGCATCTATCTACAAGCAAAATTTCAGATCGAAAATTCAGTATATTTGTTCTTGATGGACTCAATATGATCGGTTACACTTGAGATAGTTTTTGAAACAAAATTAACACTCACTTCATTTAAACAATTACGCATATATTTCAAAGTTGTAACCATTTTTTCCTTTCGTTCACGTGTCATATGAATAACTTGTTTTAATTGAGTAATATCAGTTTGAATTTGAGATGTATGATTATTTATCATGTCATCATAATTCACTATATTCTATAAAAAAAACACAAAAAAATTTAAATACAGTAAAATCTCCTATGGTGGACAGTCCGCGGTCCGACGGAGAGGTTTTTGCTGAAATTGAACCTCTCTATAGTGGACATCATTCGATACTGGACATTTTTTAGAAGTCTCATTCAGTGTCAACTAAAGAGCCTTCCTGTATTCTAACAATTGTTGATTTGTTTTGTATTTCAAGAACAAAAATGCATGAGGAGAGAAGTAACAATGAGCACTGGTTAGTTATCTTATTCACTAACACCCTTCAAATCCTTAGAAAACGCGTCCGCTTCTTCGAAAAACTTCACTTTTTGAAAAGACCAAACCTCCCTATAGTGAACACTTTCAAAAAGTTTCATAGGTGTCCACTATAGGGAGATTTTATTGTAATAATTAAAACAAAACAAAAAACTTACTCACCTGATCAAATATATTTTCTAATTGATTAAATCGTTTCATATATTCATATCTAATATATAATAATATTTATTTTGAATTTTTTTCTGATAAAAAAAAACATATCCAATTACATACATTTCTAAAAGAATACTACGTAATTGTTCAATATGTTGCTCTTTTTCTAAAGATATTTCATTCATATTTTGTTGAACACTAATTAATTCACGTTTTAATACATCAACATCATCATTTGTCGGTCTACAAAAATTAATCAATAATATAAATAAATTTAATCAATATAAATAATAAAGCAAAGAGTTTAAAGCAAACATGCAAATATAAGTATTTTATATTAATCTTTTTAACATTAAAGACATTTAAAGAAATACTTACAAACTAGATAATTTTTAATACAAAAATATTTTATTTTCTTATAGAAATAAACTGTTAAAAAAAAAACAAAATTCTCTTACCTTGGTATAAGATCATTACATAATGTATCAACTTGATTTTGTTTTTCTTTTAATTCACCCTTCAATTAAAAAAAAAACGATCAAATAATAAAAAAAAAACAAACTATGTCATGTATAAGTCTAACTTGTGTTTGAATAAGTTCATCAGTAAACATAGCTAATTGTGCATCAGAAACATCTTTTGTTGCTTTTAAATTTCCAATTTCTTGTGACTATAAAATAAATTATGTTCTTTGGTTTTTTTTTTATATAAAAATTTTTCACTTGTTCAATAACTTTCAATTGTGTACTTCGTAATTGTTTATGTAATAAATCAAGTTCTTCATCAAGATCACTAACACGTTGTCGCTGTTGCATTAAATCACTACTCACTAAAAAAGAAAGAAAGAAATTAATTTATATATTTAAATGTAAGATAAAATAAAAACTATTTACATTTCATACGATTTTCTTCAGATACGAAAAATTGTTGTTTCCAAATAGCAGCTTCTTGAAGAGAATCCTAAAATTGTTTTCAATTTGAATAATTATGTTGGCGTTTTGAAACTTTTTTTTTTACATCAATTTGTGCATGTTTTGATGAATTTTTAATTCCATTTGTATCTTCATAAATTGTTGGTGACTGTTCTTGTGAATGAGTTTTTATATAATGATGTTCAAGTCCATTTGTATCAGCAAATTTACGATGACAAATTGGACAAAGAAAACCCTTTGAAATAAATGAATAAGAAGTTTTTTCAAAGATAACAATAAAAAAAAAAACGTACTTCCTCATCAAATGAACAGATTGATCCTGTATCACTTTCATTATTATGGGAATGATTTGATCCTGTCTGTGAATAAACAAAAAATTAAAAATAATGAAAAAAAAAATTCAATCGCATTTACTTTAAGGTTTTTGAAACGATTAAGAAAACTTGACATGGCAAAAGAAAATATACAGAAAATATTGAATAAAAAATAAACTTATCAATTATTATTTCCAATCATCATTGATGTGATGAGAAAAATATCACACCTATTTGTCAAATATATAACCAGTTCAAAAACGGTAACTAGTTGAGGGCGCTAGTAATCAAACAGATCAAAAGAAGAATTTTCTTATCATTTTTCTAAAGAACAACATCAACAGTTATCTGGTTTTTTTTGCTTTGAGATTACTAAACATGGTTATTTTAGTAATAATTCTATTTATTATTACTATAGTAATTATCTGTCGATGGTATTTATCGTATGTATATTCATCTTTATATTGGTGTTGGGATAATGGCAATGAAGAAAAACGAATTTTTATTGATACAGAGAATATATCTTTTCCAGAAAATTTTTTATGGGGCACAGCAGCAGCTTCTTATCAATGTGAAGGTCCAGGTGATAAAGCATCTGTTGCTTCAAATTGGTCTGAATGGGAACCTGCAGGAATTAAACGTGGTCAACGATGTGGTATGGCTATTGATCATTATCATAGATATAAAGAAGATATTCAACTAATGCGTACACTTGGTTGTAATGCTTATCGATTTTCTTTAGCTTGGGATAAAATTGAGCCGATAGAAGGACAATATGATAAAGATGTACTTGCTCATTATCATGATGAATTAAAAGAATTACATAGACAATCAATTATACCAATGATTACATTTCATCATTTTGTTCATCCATTATGGTTTGAACAACGTTCAGCTTTTGTTAATTCATCTAATATAGAAATATTTGTTCGTTTTGTTATTGATATGTTTCGAGAATTCGAAGATGAATGTTATATGTGGTGTACAATCAATGAACCAGAAGTATACGTTAGTGGTGGTTATTTTACTGGTATCTTTCCACCTGGTCATAAATCTCAAGCGAATGAAGCTTCTCTTGTTCTTCAACATTTTTTACAAGCTCATATTGAAATTTATGATAATATTAAAAGAATTGCTCGTCAACCTGAAAAACATTCCATTGGTATTGTTAAAGATATATTTCAATTTGATCCATGGAATCCACTTAATCCATTAGATATATATGCAAGTCATATATTAGATTATGCTATGAATGGATGTATATTAGATTTTTTTCGAACAGGTTATCTAAAATGGACAATGCCTGGTTCAATACATCGAACATATGTTAATGCACGTGCACCATATACAAATGATTTTATTGGTCTAAATTATTATTCACATTTTCTTGTTCGATTTAATTTATTTAAAAAACCACCATTTGAAATTTTACATCATCAAGATAATAGTGGAAGTAGTCTTATGACTGATATGGCATATCCATTATATCCTGAAGGTTTATATCGTGCTTGTATTCGTCTTAAAAAAGAATTACCACGTATACCAATTTACATAACAGAAAATGGTATTGCTGATCGATATGATGATCGACGTCATTTATTTTTAAGACGATATCTTTATGCATTAAGTCGAGCAATTAATGAAGCTCATTGTGATATAAGGGGTTATTTTTATTGGAGTTTAATTGATAATTTTGAATGGGCAGAAGTAAGAAAAACGTTTTTCTTTTTTTTTTTATTCAATTATTTTTCTATGAAAATTATTTGATTATTCTAGGGTTATGATATGAAATTTGGTTTATATAATGTTGATTTACAAACACAGGAACGTACATTACGTGATGGTTCGAAATATTTTCAATATGTTATTCAAAAATATCGAGAAAAATATGAAAAGAAAAATCTTTAAATTTTAACACATTCTTTTATTCTAATAATCAATATATAGAGACAGAATGAAAATTTTACATTTAATATATAATATAAAATAAAAAAAAAGAATACAATAGATATAACATTTATTATCTAAATATGTATTCATATCAACACAAATAAAAGTACTAGTCTATATTTATTGACTAGTAATAGTTCAATCATTATGATGATTGAATAAGAAAGTATTGATTCATTATATGAAAGACATTCGAATGATTGTATTTGATATACGTATATATATGTACATAGATTGTAATGATTAAAATATAGTAAATATTTGTTTTTTTCTTTACTGATAAAAAAAAGTTGATTCAATACTTTATAATCTGGTTCATCACTTAAATATTATTACAGTTGAATGATTTTCTTTTCGAAATTCTTCGATTATAAATCAATAGTTAATTATTCATGACTAAATTTGAACTGAAAATATTATATGAATAGATTAGTTATGTATTCTTTCCATTCAGTTCATCAATCATCATCACATTTCCATATGCATGATTTCTTATTAATTACTTACGATTTTGTAGTGAAATTCTTTTGTTTAAGATAAGATTCAATTAAAACAGTTGATTTAATGTATAACTATGCTCTAATATTCTTTGTACACACATCACTGTTACATATGCCTCGCCAATAAGATAAAAGAATGCAATAAAAAAAAAAAATTTACATAGGTTAGAAAAACTCAGAAGCAAGAAACCAAAGTAGAATATTTGGAAAAAAAAATATTACAAAAAAAAGAAAAAAACATGTAGAAAGGGTTAAAAATCAAAACGGGAAGGTAACATTTGCTCATTTTGATCATATTGATGACGACGTCGATGACGATGTTGTTTATAGCATACTGTACAAAAACAGCTCGATCCTTGTCGACGATTATTAAGAACAAAATAACGACATGGTGGACAATCGAACATACGTTCTAATAACATGCTACAACATGTATCACAATCATTATTGTTTTCCGATGGTATTCTACTACATGTTGATGACGTAGCATATGTATCACATGCCAAAAGAACGGGTTTCCCAATGACAGTGACAAAACTTAGAGCCATTAGAGTAACAACGAATGAAAAATACCACAAATTTGTCATTCAATTTGTTGACAACTATAGACAAAATATATATAAATTATAAAAAATTCATAGAAATTTTCAATGTTTGAAAACAAAAAAAAGAAAAGAGAGTTCTATTGAATTATCTTTAGAAAAATTTTACCTTTTAAATCCATTTTTTCCATAGGTTTTTGTTCTATAACCATCCCCATTAGGATGGTACTGTCGGTTAAACCTAAACCGACTACATGGTACCACTGTTCGCTTATTCTCTGGTTTTTTTTTCGTAATGATGATTGAATAGCAGAATTGTACTCGTGATGCAAAGCAATTCAAGTTACATTCTTTCTCTCATTTTTTTTTCTCTATGTATTGCGTGATGGTATAGAGAAGAATATGTTGCGTATGTGCTGCAAAAGAAAAGAAAAAAAAAGGTCCTTCCGTCGTAATCTTTGTGTTCGTTCGCTCTTTTTTTTTACTGCTTTCTTCTGTTCAATCTTACGTAATATTATCTATCATATGAGTCGAGCGTGTGCAAGAAGAGAAAGAAGAAAAAAAAGAATATTACATAATTTATCGAAAGAGAGTAAGCTTGGTTTATTACGAGAGATGCCCTTTTTGGTTAGTAAGTTTCATCACTATACATGTACAAATATAGAAAGAAGCGAGTTGACCTGATAGTGCTGTAATATATACATATATATATATAAATGTAAAGCGAGGAGAAGAATAGAACAAAATGTGAAACACGACAGTGCGAGGGTCAAATAAACTCACTATAAAGTGATAATGAACGTGTAGAATTTTTGTATATACCTGAAGAAAGACGAAAGAAATTGATTGTTGATGATGGTATACGATGAAGAAATAGCACAATATAAAGATTGTTGTTGATGTATATCCATAAATAGGAGTTTTTTAGAGTGGGCGATGACACTCGATTAGTATGTTTTATCTTGATTGGTAGTATCTTTTAACATTCTTATAACGTTTGTACGTCTGTTGTTTGTAAGACAATTTATTTTCTATATCGTAATTAAACATATGTTAACTTCATCAAGTTATTTTCTTTTATTATATATGACGTTTTCATCTCACATCAAATATATATATGTTATATACATTCAATCAACATATATATATATATATTTCGTTCTTTACTACTAGTATATCATTTCGAAAAAAAACAGATTCATATCTGGTCAAGATCACAAAAAGAAAAGATAGAGAAAAATATTATATATATATATATATATATCTGAATTGATATCTGACATAAGATGAAGAAAACAAAAGAAAAAAATATATATATATAATATCTACGATAACAAAGACAAAAAGAAAGACAAAGAAAACTTTATTGATTAAGAAATAAAGTTTTTAAATGTAATTGTTCAAGATGTGTTAATGATGAATTATTAAATAATTGACGAATTAATTCAATATAATCATTATCAAATGAAAGTAAACCTTTTGTTTTATATATATCAGCTGCTTTTTGTAAACGATCACCAAGTGTTATATTTGATACAATTTCGATTTTTAATGATTGTAAATTATTTTCTTCATTTTCATTGTTTTGATTTATTAATGTTAAATTAGATTTTTGTGATAAATTTAATTGTTGTCGATCAATTAAAGACATGTGATGTTTTTTACGTAGAAAATTTATTGGTGATGATATTTTATCATTTAAATGAAATTTTTCATAATCAAGACTATCAATTAATGTATCAACATCATACAATTTATCATGTTGATTTGTTGTCATTGCTATGGATGTTGAAGATATTTCCATTGTAGATAGATTTTCATTATTTGCTAGATATCAAAAAACAAAAAAAAAAAAGAAGTATGCAATAAAAATGTTTTTGTTTTTGATTAAATTAGATACATACGAATTATTTCTTCGGATGTACTAAGAGATTCATTCATATTATCAATTTTTGATGATATAGATGAAGATTTTATTAGTTGTTCTTCATATAAAGAAAGTACTTTTTGAATATTAGCTAATTTTGGTAATGGAATTGGATAAGTTTCAATTTGATTAGGTGTTAATTGTGCGATATTACCAATAGTATGTATATTATTTGAATGAAAATAATCAATAGTATTTGCAGGACTAAAAATGAAAT